GTATGCAATTTACATATTAAGACTACTGTTGGAAATGGCAAATGTAAATTATATAATTTAATTTTCATTTTCCTTTTGCAACAAACTTTGCACGTATGGGTAATGGAAAATGTAAATTTAAATACAGAAATACATTGCCATTTTGAATATTGCATTGCCATTTTGCATATTGCATTTTAAATTGAATTTCGCTAACTATATGCTTCCATACTCATATGTCTAGTGACTGATCACATCAAGAATGAATGTTCTGAATTGCACTATTTTTTATTAAACATTTATTTGAAAAATGTAAGCAAGCAGGCAGGGACGTGGATCTATATGCAGGCCATTTAATAGTATGACTAAGGGAACAAACAACAAGAAAAAAACGAGCAGAAAGGCACAATTACAACAAGTGAAACATTAGCGCTGATTAAACACAATGGGTAACGAGGGACTAACAAGTAACAGGTGAGACAGATTTATCACTATAGCAACAAACAAGGGTAACCATGGTAACAAACAGCACAATGCAAACAGGGACTAACCACGGGGAGTGAACACAGAAACAATAGGAACAACTTCAACATGAAAGTCCAAAGACAAACACAGGGAACATGCAACAATAAAATATACAGCAAAGACAATAATACTGTGAAATATTTGCACCATTTCAAATAACTGTTTTTTATTTCAGTATTTTAAACTGTAATTTATTGCTGTGATGGCAAAGCTGAATTTTCAGCAGCCATTACTCCACTCTTCATTATCACATGACCCTTCAGAAATCATTCTGATTTGCTGCTCAAGAAACATCTCTTAGGCCAATCCCAATTCTACCCCTTAGCCCTTCCCCTTTCCCCTACCCCTCCGTTTCGCGCGTTCATGTGAAGGGGTAGGGGTCGTCATATCATTACTGACTGCACAATAGTGCCACAACATCATGTCTGATCAGGGCGATAATAACCACTATAGACATTGAGGGGGGCTAGTCCCCCCAATAATTATAAATCGCTAAACCCTTTTCTCAAATATCGCCAATTAGAGAGAGAGAGAGAGAGAGATGGAGATGAAAGTTGCGTGTATGCGCGTCTGTGCGTTTCTCTTTTTAGAGTGAGTTTACTTCAAAAACAGCGATTATATCCTCTCGTTGCTGGAAAATATAATGTAGCGATTCAGTATTTTAACTGTTATTAATAAAATTCGTGGGGCAGCGTTGACAAGCGCTGACACACACACACACACACACACATATATATATATGTGTGTGTGTGTATTGTCAATGTTGAAAACAGTTGTGCTGCTTTATATTTTTGTGTTAACTAAATGAACCCAATGCAAATGCAAGTGTAAATAAAATGAGTTAAAAATGAAGCATATAGGGGAGCATTTCAGAGAATAACAACTTACATTTCAGCCAGTTCCTCTCATAAAGCTATTGTACACCTTCAGAAGAATTGTACAGGCTACTTTCAAAAAGAGCAACCTGGAAATTTTGCTAAACATGTCTTGTGTTCCCATCAAAGACAGAAAATCCTATGGGTTTGGAAAGACATGATGGTAAATAAATAATGACAGAATTTGAATTTTATCTAAACTATTAATTTATGCTTGATTTCCTTTACTTTCTTTTGTGTAGGCTTTGTTTTACTTTCTACAGAATGATCTGTGACTAAAGCTCAGATGCATGATGGCCTGGATGCAAAGTAGGCCTAAATTATTTTTATACTGACTGATTCTCAATTCAGTCATTTTACTATGAGAATGAAATGACAAATGCAAGGAAAATGAAAGCAGCTTCATCTCAAAGTAAAATGAAAGGGAACATGCAGAGACAGAGAGACTGCATGATGAAGAAAATTATATTCCAGCCAAATAAGTTTCCAAAGCAATATTCACAGCAACAAACAAGCCCCACAACTCATTCTGTCGCAGGAAATGGCACAGGGAGCAGGCGGCCACCCCCAACCCTGATCTCAAACATTAAAAATGTAATCATACCACCAGCCCTAATGGTTTCTAATCACACTGTCACAGTGCGAATGAAATGAAACCTGGATATATATGATCCCCTCCACTCCCACTGACCAGTACTTTACACTGCAACATAATGACGTAAAAGCATCTGAGTGACGAACAGCAAGCTTTTAAAGCCACACGTAGGTTAGAGGCAAAATTAAGAGATGTCTTAAAATCCCACAGAACTGCACACAGTTGTTAACTGTGTCCCATATCTGTGATGATGAGAAATGTCAGTGTTGACATTTCCATCTGCGGTGTGTAAACATCACTATAATCACGATGGCTAATTACTACCCCATGGGCAGCCAGCAGAGTCTGGCTACCCTCCATTCATCTACCATTATCTGCCAGTGCCTCACTAGATGAAGCAGCAATATTATACCACTACAGTGATAGCATACACACACTCCTAATATAATTCATCTATTATGTATATATAAAGATTAAGCGTTCATTCTTTTCACGTCCAGTATCCTTGCTTTTGTCTTGATTCTGTTGACAAGTGCCAAGTGGAAAATGTTATTGCTCAGAGGTTGCTGTTTCTTAGTTCAAGGGATTTAATATAGTTCATGATGTTCTTTCATCATTTACTCCCCTCATATTGTTGTAACCCTTTCTTTCTTCTGTGGAAAACAATATCTTTAAATAATGGATATTTTAAAGAATGTTTTAACCATTTTTGTCCACACAATGAAAATCAGTAGGATCCAAACCAACATTGGACCCAACTGACTTTACTCTGTATGGATGAAATCCACAGAAGAAAAAAAGTGCATACCGATTTGGAATGACATGAGGGTGAGGAGATAACAGAATTGGAGAATTATTTCTTTAAGTATCAAGTTTGTCTCAGATTTATTAAGAGAAATAAAAAGTTAAATGTTAACATACAGGAAGATTGTTTTTTGAATTCGAGGAATTTTATAAGAAACGTTGAGAGTTGCATACTTTGGTACCTTGGTACATCTGGGCCAGCATTATTATTGGTTAAATGAAACTAAAACCATAAAAAATGTAAATAAAAAAAAAATAAAATAAAATAAAAAGTTATTTCAGCTGTTGCTAATGTGGCAGGAGATAGTTGAGAGGACTTGAGATAGAGACAGAGCAGGGCAGAGGAGAGTCACGATGAATCAGAACTCAATGAATTACAGGAGAGTAAACAACCGGCTGAAACCAGAAACCAGCAATGCACACGGGCCCTATAATCATCTACTGAATCCCACTGCCACTGCAGGAACATAATAAAATGAGTTAACAAGGCCATTAACCATTTACATTTAGTCATTTAGCAGACGCTTTTATCCAAAGCGACTTACAAATGAGGACAATGGAAGCAATCAAAATCAACAAAAGAGCAATGATATGCAAGTGCTATAAGAAGTCTCAGTTAGCTTAATGCAGCACACGTAGCAAGTTTTTTTTTAAATTATATAATAAATAAAACGAAAAACAGATAGAATAGAAAAAGAATAAAGCAAGCTAGTATTAGAGGCCTTTTTTGCTTTTGATAATTGTATAATAAATAAAAAGAAAACAGATAGAATACAAAAAGATTAGAAAAGCTAGTGTTTTTTTTTTTTTAAATAGAAGTAGAATAGAGAGGGCTAGAGTTAGAAGGATGAGTTTGGAGACTTCTGCCTCAGAGAGTGAAGAGAAGGATGTGAACAAGTGTATGTTTGCTGGTAAGATGTGCTTGACAGATTGTGGTATGGAAAATTGTGCACTGATGGTTTTAATTTTATTAATGAAGAATGTTGCAAAGTCGTCAGCTGTTAGAGTTGATGAAGAAGGGGGAGGAGGAGGACAAAGGAGCAAGGAAAATGTTAACCAAATTAACCAAAAGCTATTTTTCAAGTTACTTTGATTGGTGTTACTCAGAAACACCACAGTAGGGATAAAGAAATAAGTTCCACTAGCTGTTTTTGTGAGCTTGAACTGCAAGGTTTTGTTGATTTTGTTCTACCCTGACGAGACACTTTTTAGAACAATAATCGCTTGGATGCAGAGTCTAATTTACACACATTGCAAACCTGCCAACAGCGTTTGACCCCTCACAGAGCTGTGCTGATTAAATTCCAGAGAAGGTGGTATGGTTGCCAGCATCCTGGAGTAATAAAAGCTGTTTAGAAAACATAAAATGTAAATGTGAATAAACAATAATAAAAGCTGAACAGGGCTATAAAGCCTTCACCTAACAGGCAGAATATGACCTGGCAGAAACTGAATTATTATTGACTACTCAATTATTCTGTTTACGCTCTGCTCGATCATTAAACATCATGTCATGGTACCTTGATGTGAATTTGCACAGCAACAGAGAAGATGCACGTCTGAGTGTGGAAGAGTGATAACTTTATTATGTGGTCATATTTTCTGCTGACAAACAGCGGGCAGCACTTACTGCAACAAGATCAATTACACATTCACTTACTGGTCCATTTACGTTGAAATTATCACTCTATGTTAATCTAGACTCAATAAACATGACACTTCTCCTTTTTGACATTAATGTGCTTTGGTGCTTTCCAAGCCCTGTTAATGCTGAATGTTCACGCTACCTGGGAACCAGCCAAACCATCAAGCTGCCCATCATTTGGCAGATACTGAAACACAGATGATTCCCAGAGCCTCCCATGGAAAAGAAAAAATAGATCTCTTTAATATCTCAATTGTTTCTCCTTGACATTATTAAATGCTTGATATTAAATTGAGAACAAATAGAGAGATGAAAATTCGGATTTGTCATCACAAGAATAAATTACATTTTAAATTACAAATAGAAAACAGTTGTTTTCAATTGTAATGATATTTAAAAATTGTATTGCATTTACTGTATTTTTGATCAAATAAATGCAGCCTTGGTGTGCATAAGAGACTTCTTTAAAAAAAAAAAGGGAAAAAAGTACAGATCCAAAACAGTAGTGTATGGGTCAAAGTCAAGATGAAAAAGGGTTTTCAAGCATCAAAACAATAAGTGTAATACAGCTTTGAATTATTGTTGTTTTCCAATACATTAGAATGGGTCCTATTTAATTAGATTGTTTTTTTTTCTGAGCTAAAAATAAATATCTTACATTTTTACCATGATTTACAGAAGACACCCACTAAAATGTCATTCAGTGTAACAGTCTTGTCGGGCATATTTACAACAAGAATTAATTTATGACATATTTAAAGACTAATTACTTTTACGCCAAATACTAATTACTTGTAATTTCACATTTTTAAACTTTGCCACTATCCTAGGTTTTGCCACTTTGTCAGCAAGATTGTTTTGCTCATTTAAAATACAAAAAAAAGTTAGCATTCTCACTTGTTCTTTTATATATTTTAATATGTACAGGTCAGAATAAGTATGTTTAAATTTTTACATGAATATAAGTGTCTGAATGACACTGAATGACAACGGAACATTATTAGAGCTTTTCAAGGATTTTTAAAAATGAAATCTATTGTGTATTGTTTAGACCTTTTTATACTGTGTACAAAGGTTGCGGATAAAACATTCTAAACAAGAATAACTCAGGACCTGCACCAGGTAATGCAATGTAGGTGGAGCTGTTTGTAAAATGAAAAAGCACTTCAAGCAAAAACTTTCCTTCAGGTCGCAATGCCTTAGAACACCAAAATAAAGCATGAGAAGGTACTTGGGGTTAATAACAAATGTAAAATCTTTCTGCCAACACATTTAAGTTCAACATTTGTATGTTCAGTGACTTACCACAGAATGAGACAATATGGCTGCTGTCTTCATGAACAAACTTTCTTGTGACTGCTTCCTCCATGATCTGCTTGACCTGTGTTACACATGGAGACACAACAGAAGCTGGCTGAGTCAGCATGATGAATTAAAGCAAACGTTCTACAGCTTTTTTATGCATTGTGGATGTTTCCATGATCGGTGAATCTGTGGAACGATGTAGGTCTTATGAATATATTCTCTCTCACAAGTACTCTCGTTTAGTTCAATCAAACACTCAAAGCTGGAAAAAAACTCTGCAATAAATACCAGGAAGGAGAGAGTGTATAGGAGGTGAGTAGGAAGAATGCAGATCATTCAGAATCTAATATTTACCTAGTTTCAAAGAGAGATAAAATTACACTAAAACACTCATTCCCTTCACTTGCATAAAAGCTTGTTTTAACAATCTCTGGTCTCCCCAGAATGGAAGGGTCTGTCTGAAATAAATTAGCCTGCTGATTTGCTTGAGGAAGTGGCTAATGAAAATTTCCTGCTAAGTGTGTTTCCTCTGTTTATACATTGGACATGACAAGAAAGTGGGGGCAGGGGTAATGTGAAAGTAACCCTGGGTTAAGCGGTGTTTTACACTTGCAATTATGAAAGGGGTTCAGCACCCTCCTGTTTTGCCTCAAGTCTCTCCTTATTAAATATTAATGGGTGTCTCACAGTTGCAAAAACTGTCATGCCCTTTTCAGCGTTAACATCAAAAAGACAAAAAAAGGCAAAAAAGTCAAACAGTGATGACAAATGCTCCTTTGTGTTTCCTCCTTTTTTGTCTCAGTTTTTAGTTTTCTTCAGACAACAAGAGTGCATTTACGTGGTGACATTTCCACATAAAGACAAGCCCAGAGGAAAAATGTATTGCTCAAAAGATGCCCTTTCTTAGCTCTTTTTTTTGTTGTTGATACATTTCATTATCAGCATTGTTTCAGATGTATATTATACAAACAAAATTATTTCTATTTTAAACAAACGCTGTTCTTTTGAACTTTCTATTCATTAGAAAATAATTTAAAAATGTATCATGGTTAAGTAGTACACTCTTAAAAATAAAGGTGCTTCAAAAGGTTCTTCAAGCGATGCCATAGAAGAACCATTTTTGGTTCCACAAAGAACCATTCAGTCAAAGGTTCTTTAAAGAACCATCTCTTTCTTACCTTTTTATAATCTGAAGAACCTTCTTTCGCCACAAAGAACCTTTTGTGAAACAGAAAGGTTCTTCAGATGTTAAAGGTTCTTTATGGAACCATTTAGACAAAAAGGTTCTTCTATGGCATCGTGAAGCACCTTTATTTTTAAGAGTGTACAACTGTTTTCACTGTTGATAATAATAAGAAATGTTCATTGAGCACCAAATCAACATATGTGAATGACTGAAGGATCATGTAACACTGAAGACAGTTTGAAATCTTAAAACCGGATGAACCAGAATCAATTTCAATAGTAAGGTAAAACATGAATAGTGTTAAAATGACCCTGGATTAACCTCAAAAGTGAAAAGCCCATTACTGTGCCCATAGTCTTCTGCTTTAGCATTCAGACTGTGGATGTACTGTGATTCAGATATTTACTCCCTGACCTTCTCTTTCATTTCCCCATAACTAATGCAGCAGGTAAACACAAGCTCTTCAGAGCAAAACCTGTTGCCCTGACCCTGTTGCCCTGAGAAAGAGTCACTGCCTTTCCGGCTTTTTCTTCTGAGAATCTGGCATTTAAAAAACCCAAATCAAACAAAAAACCTGCAACTAAACATACATTTCAAACAACCTGTTTAATCAGAATAGGTAACATTACTCTCTTGGTTTGACAGAAGGTTTGAGATTTTTGAAAGTGCTTAATTATTGAAAAAGACTTCCTACATTCATAGATGGTGAAATCTAATCCAGTGTATTGATTTCTTCTCACCATCTTATTCATAATTCTAAAACATAGCAGCACAACTCTGTTCTAATCAACTTAACTTCCAGAGTTTAAACACCAAGTATGACTCACCTGAGCGCTATAAATAACTCCGGAGGTAAACTCATCTCCTCCTTCATTCTATAGAATCACACCTATCTAAACCTCCAGAGAGAGAGAGAGAGAAAGAAGGACGCAAAGGAAACCCTTTCGCTCAGAGACCAAATGAATCACACTCATTGGAACACAACAGTATGATTCACAAAGGTACAGATCAGAAGCACGACCATAAAACAAATGCCTGTTATCCTTGGAAACAGAGACAAGTGTTGTCATTCCTAGAACATGATGATACCACCAAAGTACAAAATTTACTGAATAGTTTGTAAAGGTTGGCTCTGTCATTTTTGCTTCTTTTGCAGTGTCTCTCGCAAACAGCTTTTACTGTCCTTTGTAAGAAAGAGATGAAAACGCTTTCACTTAGAAATAATGAAACGCAACATCTGAAAGAGAATCTAAGAGACATATTTTAGTCGTTATCATCGTTAGTGGTTTTTGCTAAGTGCTATGGACCCTGAATGATACTGCAAATTGTGCTACTTGAGTAGAGGTGGAAGAAAAGTATAAGGTCACGTTTCATGCATATTCAATCAATACAGCCAATTGGAGTCTGCATACACTAGAATGAGGAAAAAATCCATGAACTGATGAGTTGAGCTGAAGGACAGCATTCCAGGTAGCCTTGCTGATGAACTCTTGAGTACATCTTTCTGGAGGTTATAAGTTCATGAAAGCTCTTACTTTGTGGCTGACTCAACGCACAGATATAAAGAGCTCTCTATTATAGGGATGCACAAATCCAATTCCTGAACTGATACTGGCACTGATACTGACGTTTTTAAACGGATCAGGCATTGGTCAAATGTAATTAATTAAAAATAGTGTGTCTTAGTCATAAAAACGTGAATTTGTGCTCTATATATTTCAAGTTTAACAGGGACAGTTATCTCGGTTAAAGAAATTTTACTATTTTTAAAATGTTATTTATTCCTGTGATGGTAAAAGCTGAATTTTCAGCAGCCATTACTCCAGTCTTCAAAATAGTTAGGCTGCTTATATTTTTTTGTGAAAACCATGATAAGATTTAATGATTCTTTAATGAATAAAAAGTTCAAATTTAAAAAAGAACAGCATTTATTTGAAATGGAAATCTACAGCATTATAAATGTCTACTGTGATTTTTTATTGATTTAATGCATCCATACTGAATAAAAGCATTCATTTATTTAAAACAATCAATTTTAGACGGTAGTGTAATTATCATTTTTAAGTGTAGTTTTATCCCAAATGACGCACTTATTCAATGCACTATGTACTCAACCATCTTGAGTTTGAATTACGTATTTTGTCATTCATCATCGGAGTCTGACAGCCCCCCTTCCATCTGCTTTACGTAATTAAAGCTGCGACAGTTGAGTACACAAAATCTCAAACATTCCACACTTCTTTGGTTAAATAAGTGCATTATACGGGCATTTGAAGTGCATTTTTTTTTTTTTTTTTTTTACATTTTCAATGTGAACACACTAATCTCAGTATTTACACTGAAAAACTGCATTTAATACTGCATAGGTAAACAAATTGGGGTGCACCTAATATTTTAAGAATATGAAGAAATGCCACATGCAAACAAACAAAACAACAACATACATCATCAGAGAGTGCATTGCCAAGTCTGAATTAAAGATCACTGATGCAATAAGAGCAAATAAATTCATGAAGAAATGTTTCCTAATGGTGTCTAAACTCTTATTGATCAGCCTCATTTAGAGTGTAGTGTGTATTGATAGGCAGAGACTCTATCAAGCTCTGTGTGTGTAAATGTGTGTATGAGACAGAGACTGTAGGGGTTTATTTGGAGCTCTGCTGTCCCTGATGTCTCAGCAGCATGACAAAGGTTTCCATGGAGATGGCATGGAAAGTCTCACAGCTTGGGTTGCCAAGTTACTTCCCAAATGTGTTGGCAACACATTGAAAAATGTTGCTTCAACTCTGAGCAGAACCGATGAACAATTCCGGCTGTGAAAGGGAATGGCATTTGCCACGATTCATGCCACCAGCACAAAAATTATTTGCTGCATATTACCACACTTCATCATGCTGAGAGAGCGAACATATGAATTGAAAGGCTAAGTGGTTGAGTGGATTATTACACTACTCAGAAAGAACAGTCAAATTCACACAATGAAAGCAATTATAGCCCCAATCGTACTTCAGAGTTGTCAGAAGCCTACAATAGACAACAAATATTGTCATTTGGTGTTATTTAATATAAAAGTCCCCCTGCAGTCACTAATTTTATCCATTAAAACGCATCTTTGATAATCAAAATGACATATTTAAACTTTTTCTCATAAAAATAATTTCTTTATGTCTTACATCCATGAATATGTTAACTAGTCCCAGCCTCCACTCAATCACACCAGCTCTGACTGACCCGCTCCACTTTCGCTCAGGTAACTGAAGTAGTACCGTATTGTCCCGAATATAAGACGATATTATTTTCTTGGAAATACATCTGAAAAAACGCGGTCGTCTTATATTCAGGGTCTAGACTTTGACATGTCAATAATACACCCACAACACTAGGTGGCGCCAAATACGCATAAAACGAGTGTGCCATGAAATACGTAATGTAATGCGTGTTGTAAAGAGCGCAAGTAAAAACAAAAGAAGCAGAAAACCTTACAGCTGCATGAGTCGTGACTGTCACGTTAGCCTGATGGCACCAAACTCCCTTTGTGATTTTAAAACGTAAGACAGAACCCAGATTTGAAGACTACAGTAAGATTGAACTTCTACTGTTAATAAGATTTTGGTAGGCTACTATTAGATGGATAGCCTAAATGTCCTAATTCAGCGAGGCTACCTGTTTATTTTTTTTTAATGGTATATCAAAAAGTGTATATTTTTTAAATGTGATTGTTGATACATTTTACCAGTTTTTACCATACTTTCAAAACAAAAATTAAAATAGGAAAAATATGCAATATGAAAATAATTGAAGACAAAATGTGTTTTACTGAGAAAAAACAAGATTTGTTTTTTAAAAAGCCTTTTTCCAAAAGGTACATCTGGAAAAAGGGGGGGGTCGTC